AAACCTTGTTACATGTTTACTTAAAACCAATGAAAATTTAGATATAATGAAGAAACAGATTATAACACCACTCCTTCCTGTAGCACTTGCAATAACATCCAGAGCCTTCATTTTCCCCTGTAGGTTCCTACATGATCTGGTCTTGCCTCCCTTCTTCTTCTTCTTCTTTTTTTTTTTTAATTGATTTTAGAGAAAGGAAGAGAGACATCAATCTTTTACCTCCCACATCACCCCAGCCAGGGATTGAACCCACCATCTTTTGGTGTACAGGACAATGCTCCAACCAACTGAGTCACACAGGCTGAGGCTTGCCTCCCTCTTACCTGTCTTGTCCCACTCTCTCCAGGCTTCACTGTGCTCTCCTCCATGGGCCTCTTCCTGCTTCTCAAGTAATGTAAGCTTTTTTTTTTTTTTTTTTATCCTCACCCGAGGACATTTTTCCATTCTTTGTACAGACAGAGTGGGAGGGAGAGAGAGGAAGAGAGAGAGAGGGAAACATCGATGTGAAAGGGACACATCGAGTGGCTGCCACCCGCACGACCAACCAGGGTCGGGGACAAACTGCAACCGAGGCACGTGCCCCTAGCGGGAACCGAACCCGGGTCTCTCCGGACCGCAGGTGGACGCTCCAACCGCTGAGCCAAACTGGCCAGGGCTCAAGTAATGTAAGCTTTTACCTGCCTAGGTCCTATATATGTATACTGTGCTTTTGGGATGCTGTTTTCTTGGCTGTGTTCATGAACTGGCTCCTCATTCTTTAGGTTCTCAGCTCAAATATCATCTCCTGAGAGACCTGCATTGACCTTTTCTTCCAATTACTTTATATCGTATTTATATTCTTCATAGCACTTGTTAAATCTGTCCTTTATTATTTGCTTGTCTGCTTTCCTCTCCCTCACAGAAGGAGGGACTTTGAGCTGTTATAGCCTTTTTCATCCTGGTTTCAAGAGAATATTAAGCCTAATGTCCCAAGGTATCTGTGTATGAATTATCTTCTCTCCTATATATCTAGAATGGTGCTATGTACCATCCTTGGGAGACTGAGCAAATAGTCAAGTAACTTACGTTCCGCGTCCTGTGGTTCAGATGGGAAACCCTGGTTGAGAAAGGCAATGCCTAATACAGAGCAGTTCTCAATAATTTTTGAGTACGTGAATAATATATCTGACCAACATCTGGGATCAGGAATGATCGAAGGTTAATTCAACCATTCAGACCTCGGCACAGGCACTAGGCCTATGGAGCCTGAATTGAGGTGGAGGAGAATAAAGAGGATGTGTATTCTGAAAAACTCCCCTGAAAGATTTTAATGAGAGCATCATTCTTCCACCCCCTTTAACCTCTCCTCACCACCACCCTGTCTAGATGTCCTCTAAGAATCTTCCCATCAGAGATGGTTGGTGAGATATCTAAGTGGATGACTGTCAAACTTTATGTAAGGGAGTGTTGTGTGGCATTTTTACCAGGGGCAGGAGCGGTAAAGGCCATGAGTTTAATGAAGAGGAGTTAAGGGGAAATTTCAGAAACACTTGAGTGGGCAGATGTCTGGGATGTTTGACACACATGAGACACCTAAATGAAAGTTAGAGTAAGATAGTAATCAAACAGTGTCATTCCAGAGCATTTCTATAGAGTTTGGAAGTTAAGAGTGAGGTAAAGAAGAGGGGAAGCCCTATGTTTTTTGAGCAATAGCAAGCGTGTTTTGGTTGTTCAGTTTGAATATTGGGGACTGTTCCATGAGTTTAGAATTTGGAGGCATTATAAAGGGAATCCTAGCTTAGTCTTGCAGGCAGACCAAGGAACAAAGGAAAGAAAGGAACTAGTTACCTCCCACTATGTGCTCAAACACCAAATCACTAACAAATATTTATCAAAGGGCAGACTGTGCTAGATTCTAGGGATATAACTATGAACAAAGCCTTCTTGGTTCTTAGACATACAGAGCTTGCTTAGAGTCTAATGAAGAAGACAGATATGTATGTACATTTACAACAAAGGTGATAAAAACTGTGCTGGGGGAGCAAGAGTATAGGAAGCAGGTGTGATGTGACCTGAGCCACCTGTGTGTGTGTGTGTGTGTTTGCCTGTGTGTGTGTGTGTGTTTGCCTGTGTGTGTGTTTGCCTGTGTGTGTGTGTATTTGTGTGTGTGTTTGCCTGTGTGTGTGTGTGTGTGTGTGTGTTCAAAAGGAAGGTCTTTCAGAGCCTGAACGATGTATGATCGTAATCCAGATACATGAGGTCAGAGAACTGAGAGTATACAGCAGAGAGAGGTGAGAACAAGCATGACTATCAAAGAAACTGAAAGTAGTTCAGCCAGTCTCTTGATTGTATGTTTTAGAGGATGAGAAGCCATTGTTGGGGAGAAGTAATGAGAGATAAGTTAAAGCATAAAAAGAGACTAAAAAAAATGAGTTTGGAAAGATCTGTTAAGAATTATGGCCCAGAACTGGGATTCTTAACTGTTTTTTGTGCCATGGACTCCTTTGGCAGTCAAATGAAACATATCAGTTCCTTCAAAGAATGTTTTTAGTCTAATAAAATACATAGGACTAAAAAGGAAACCAAATACATTGAAATGCAGATATAAAAATATTAAAACCAACTTTGTAATATAGTAATATAAGTACTTATTTATTAATGGCATTAAAATCTAGCAATGGGTCTGATGAATGTGATTTCAAAATTGTGCTTAACATAAGCAATATTTTGAGATATATGTAACACTTGTGTGACAAAAATGTGGTGTAGGTTATTGTTTGTTGGCTTTATACCTAATTAAAGAAAGTTCTGATTCAGCAAAAAGTTTGTAGAAATAAATTTATTTATTTATTTATAAATAAATAAATTTATTTATGGATGGCAATTCTATTGCCATCCATATCTATGAACCTCCAGAATTCTGTCTATAATCTCCAGGTAAGAACTGCTAATCCAAAGCATCATAAGCCATTTAAAGATTTTAAGTAGTGAATGAATTGATCCAATTTATTTTAAATTAAAAAAATTTTATTTTGAAAAATTTTTTTTTTTAATTTTATTTTTTAGAGACACAGGATGGGAGAGATACGATGTGTGAGAGAAACATTGATTGGCTGCCTCCTGCATGTCCCCTACTGGGGATCAAGCCTTCAACCCAGGCATGTGCCCTGACTAGGAATCGAACTGGGACCTCTCAGTCCATGGGACAATGCTCAGTCCACTGAGCCACAGCCAGGTGATCCAATTTACTTTAAAGAGAGCCCTCTGTCTACATGGGAAAACACATGGAATTGTTTGTTGTATTTACTGGAAGAGTGTTGCAGAGAATGTCCTTCTCATCAAGTCTATATAGTGTCCGTTTTGTGAGGACTCTTGTTGTAATGCTCTACAGTGATGGTTATACAACTGGATGGGTTTGTCAGAAAAGGGTGCATTTTACTATGTAAATTATATTTCAGTAAGCCAGAATTTTAAAAATGCTATAATCAATCAGTGCTCATGGTTGTTTTGAGAAAAGACTTTGTCAGAAATTGGAGGGTGTGCATGCAGAGGTCAGTTTGCTAAGTCTGGACTACAATTATCTGCTGTTAGAGCACAGTGCTAGGATGGTTTGACCCCTAATTCTGTTCCTTCTACCACAGGAAATGCATGGGCCTCCTGAGCCACGTGTGTTCTTTGCAGTTCTTTAGGGGCTTTCCTTGCTACCCTAAGACTTTGAGGAAATCCACTGGCAGCTGTCTTTCTTCAGCATTTATTCCTGATAAAGGTGCCAATATTCAGTAAAGTTGATCAGAGTGATCCTTTACATTAAAAAGAATTTGAAAAGGGATTAGCAAAATGAACATCTGTGATTGATGTGGGATGGGTGAGGGGAAAAGTGAAAATATGATTAATATTTTGAGTATCTACCTTATGTTTCATTAAATGCTGCTTATTTGCTCTCAGTTGGCAGAAAAAAAAATATTTAGAGGCATAGAGGAGGATATTTCTAGAGTGGAATCTCCTATTAGGAAGGTAGGTTATGTTAAATCTTTTCTTTTGGAACTATTTTTTCATTAAACGTTGGCCTCTCCCTGTTTGGCTTCCCCGGGGGACAGCAAATGGGCGGAAGAAGTTAGAAAGGAATCCTCCAGAGGGGACTGTCATCTCTGACTGCAGTCAGGGCTCACCTTGGATACCAGCTGCAGGATTTTTCTGCAGTAAGTCATGGCAGGTGCCTTGGTATTGCCTGGCTCAGCAGCTTCCCCAGTGCCTAGCAGACATGCAGAGCTCCCCAGGTCCTGGCACGGCACGGGGGCATCCCACATTATTATTAAGGACAGCAGCTGGGCAATGGCACTACTAAGCATCCAGTCTGGTCCATAATATCAGTGCCCCATAGACCACCGGGATGACTCTGGATTCTTCCCCCTCATAAGAGGGATAGGGGAAGTCACTGAGATGCAGTATGGCTCCAGCAGCACAGGCATCTGTAAAATGTTGGACCTTTAACTCTCTGGAACCTCAGGCTTGGCTGACCACCCAGAATAGCCCAAAGATAAACGTCATGTCCCCAGGAAGGAGGCTCATGAACGTACAGAGTGTGAAAACTGCCTGATGTTATCTATTAACTTAGGAATGCACGGTTCTTCCTGGAGGTCTATGTGACTACCCACCATATAGTGTTACTATTAACCCCCTATAAAAAAGAAGCCCTGTCCTGGGTGGGGTGTGGGTTCTTCCTGCCTGGCTACCACTGGGAGCAGCTGCCTTGCCCATGTGTGTAAATTTCTCCTATTAAAGCTTTTACGAGATTGAATAAGGTTAGGTGTCAGTTCTCTGGAACCGATCCCAAATTTAGACTTTTGGGGCTTTCCCCCAACGGAGGTATCCCTGGCAGTGATCTCAGCAGCTGTGAACCCCAAAGTTGGGACAGTGTTGACATGGCAATCAAGAGGCTTCATAATTCACCCCTGTGTACCCTTTGAACTCCTGCTGTTAATGCCCCCTTATTATTTCCATGTTGTATCTAGTGTGATGACTCTTACCTGCGGGAACCCAGGACACTGGCTTATTTGGCTTCAGGTACTCCTGCTGGTTTTTGAGTAATGTAGTGTGACTTTGTTTTTCTTGACCTATTCTGAAATCTTAACACTTGAACCCTCTAGAGCCAAAATCATAAGTAACACAGGAGAAACAAAATCAGAAATGAAACAAATACAAACAAACGAGTCTTTAGTTAATACTATAGTAACACTTGGTTTTTTAAAGTGTCTTATCTTGCAAGTTTCTCTGAAGCTTTGGTTTCTGGCATTTAATCACAACACTCCCAGCTGGGGCCGTCCGGCCCTCAGGAGAGCTTCAGACTTCAGCTGCGTGGGTATATACAAAGCTGAAGAAATAAGACGTGATTGTTGGCAAAGACCAGTCTTTAAAGTTTTTCATTTCCTTCCTTCTTTTGAGTGTCAAGAGTTTATCCTGTCATTCAGCAGAATATGGAGACTTCATCTAAAATTGAAAAATGAAAATGACCTTTGAGAAAACTATTGTTTTGCAAATAAATCACTATTTCTTTTGTAAACATCCTCGTGTCTACCAAATACTCCATAAACAGTCTAGCATTTAACTACTAAGGTACCTTTTAAGTAGATGAAAACTTTTAAAAAGGTTTATTCACCCCACTGAAAAGTAAGAGGAAATGAGTGTAAAATGTAGCAAAAGCTCTCTCATAACTAAATGACATAAGGACAACTAATAATGGAATAAGCTGTTCAAGGAGAGTATGGATTTTTCATCCCTAGAAGTCAAGAGAAGGACTAAAACCTACTTGATTTATAGTCAGATAGAAATCTCGTGGGGCTTAGAGTCCCTCCAAGATTCTATTATTCTGATGTATGTTCATCTTCATGTAAAGTGGGTGCTTGAACTGCTTCACAGTATTGGGGTATAAGAACAGGTGGAATGCATCCTAAATCTCATTGTGTTTACGATTATGACTTAGTTCTCAGAAGAGTATTATTATACTGCTGTTAATTGTTATTCATACACTACTTGAAGAGGCTCCCAGGATGAACAATGCAAGCAATAATTTATCAAGAAAAATGGAAATTTGTGGTGCTTGAACTGCTAAAATAACTAGGTTTATAAATATTGACTAATATGTATTGTCTGCCAAAGTGGGGAAAGTGGGGCCAGTAGTGGAATTGGGGACAAAGTGTCTTTGAGTGAGGTACAGGGATATTTTGCCCTGTGGTGGCTTGTGATGGAAAGAATTTAAAGCAGTTGAAGCAAGGGAAAACGTCTGCTTTTGATGTGGATTATCAGCAACACACAGGACCATACAGACATCCCTTGTGTTATGCTAATGAATTTGTTTTCTTACAGCCCCGGTTGAACTTCAGCCCCTTTGCTCCACACACCACCTTTGTTTATTTAGGTCTGCCCTTGACCAGCCATTGCAAAGAAAGGGAACATACTGCCGTTTCAATGGTTGTGGGACTCAGGTTCTCTCTCAGCACTGCATATACACTTGGAGACATGGGAAGAAGGTCTGATGGAGATTGTGGCTCAGATGAATCACTGCGGCTTGAAGAAATAACAAGGGAAATATTTAAGAGGATTAAAAATCAGCTCATGGAGACTTACTGTGTCAAGAACTCATTTCTAGGCCTTTATTTGTGACACCAAGATGTCTAATTCATCATCTGCTATCACAGCACTCAGCCTAATATGGAATATAAAAGGGCAACTCAGTAATTCCAGTCATGACAGACCGTGGTATGTCTTGAAGACTAGCTTTATGTATTAAAGAAAATGGGATATTGAGCATTAAAATGCTTTATTCTCACTTATATTCTGCTCTACCCTTAAATTTTCTGTAGAAAAGCTTTTTTTTTTTTTTTTGGATGAATTCAATAATAATATTTCACATGCAACTAAGATTACTTACATTGTTGAGATGGGGATAAAAACAGAAGGAACATAACCTTTGTCTCCCCTTTCTGTTGGTCTTGAAACTGGAAAAGAAAGGCACAGTTTTGGGAGACATGTTATCAATATTATTGATAAAATTAGAAAAAAATCTAGAAATATATAAGTAATGCTTTAAATAAGAGAGATAATACAATAGCTCAGTGATTCACAAAACTTTTTAGTTGAGTATTTTAGATGAGCATGAAGTAAGCAAGAAGAGAAAAATATATCTCTTGGAGGGTTCAGTCTAACTTCACATATTAATGTTTCTAACATGCATGAGAAAAATTTGGAATCAACTACATTACTGGCTCCTGTGTTACATTTAAGTTTGATTATAAGAACTGATTTATTTGTGTATTGGGGGATTTGTAGTAATTCAGTTCTTTTCATTAAAACTGACACCAATAATAATCTTATAATTACATGAATTGCACAGACATCAGTGCTACTAAAAGTACTACTGTACTGTAGTCACAGGAATGTGCAAACTTCAACCTTGGAAATGTTTTCCAAATTTCTGAACTTGTTCTTGGTCAAGTTGTAATTTGGACCAACTGTATAATTTTTCAACTACAGTTTGTTTCATTGACATTTATTGTGCCTTTTGATCAGGTAAAGACATTTAGGGGTTGTTGTTGTTTTATTTTTTGTTTGTTCGTTTCAGAAGGGGATGAAGTAGGATGGCAAGTCACCCTCTAGGCGTGACCACTGTAGGATATTCTACAAGATAGAGTGCATAGATTTAGTTGCTATAGATGAACATTTTAATGGATTGTTTATGCTTTCATTAAAGAAACAGAATGGTGAACTTACAGTCATGTAGCTAATTTCATGAATGTCTTTCATATATCCAACCAATATTTACCAAATGCCTTTTTTGGCCAGGTATTATTTTAGGCCATTAACATATAGCCAGAAAAGGCAGGATATCAAAACTTGTTACTGGTAGGCTAGGAGGTGGGAGATGTTATGTAGACTCCCTTGTCCCCTCCTGGGTGAATAAACAATACTGATTTGTGAGACAGTAAGGTAAAAAAATACATAAAGCTTATAAACCCTGGGCTTCTTTTGCAAAAAAAAAACCAGACTTGCTTAACTTTTAATGGCTTTCTCATCATTACTTTCTCTTTTGTCCCCCCCCCCCCCCCTAGTCACAGAAGCGAAGTCTGTAGTTTCATAGAAGGAAGGAGATGGATGTAGGGTACAGCTTGACAAACCTCAGAAGAAGGGCACGGGGAAGAGGGAAGAGATAGACCACAGAACTTATATGCACATATTTGTAACCAAGGGACACAGACAACTATGCTGGGGGGTTAGGGGTGGGGGCGGGATGGGGAGGAGGGTGTCAATGGGGGGAAAAGGAGAAATATCTGTAATGAAAATAAATTAATAAAAATAAGTATAATCTTAAGAAACAAAAAACAGCGCTGGCCAGTTTGGCTCAATGGTTAGAGCATTGGCTCGCGGTCCAGAGAGACCTGGGTTTGGTTCCCACTAAGGGCATGTACCTTGGTTGCAGTTTGTCCCTGGCCCGGATTGGGATCGTGTGGGTAGCAACCAGTTGATGTGTCTCTCTCATGTTGACGTTTCTCTCTCTCTCTCTCTCTTATACCCTCTCTCCCTTTCACTCTGTCTGAAGATAAATGCAAAAATGTCCTCTGGTAAGGATAAAAAAAAAGAAGAAAGGAGAAAACCAAAACTCTACCAGTGGGTGTAAGGGGCCACTGTGAAGCCTGGTTACAGCTACAGATTAGCCCTGACAGTCCCTTTTTGGGAACTGCTGAGATGCCACTTCCTTGCTAAGGTTTGACCTCCACATACTCCTTGGATCTTATAATGATCAAAGTAAACATAAAAAGAGGAACTTCATTTACTTTAAGGTTATTTTCTAAAATGTAAAAGAAAAAAAAGCAAACAGAAGGACTCTAACCTTCACTTGGCTGGGAGCTGTAGTGTTTACTGAAGGCTTTGTCTTTGGGAATGTCAGGATATAGGTACTTCAGAGGGTTTTCAGGAATGTTTTCAGCCATAATAACCTTGTAGTCTCGAAGGATGTCAGCGAATGGCAGAGCAGACAACCGGCCTTTATTGTAGGGCTCTACAGAGTGGAATCTCACTTCTCCTGGAAAAACAGCAAGCTGGGGTTTTTTAAGGTTTCTGCAGGCATTCTTTGTGGCTGTTCTTCCTGCCCACATTATCTGCATATCACCGGGTATAAAACAATGCCAGCCCTCCTCTGCAGTCTGGACAGGACGGATTACCACACAATAGAGGACACCCACGCAGGCTGTGAGAAATTCATGGTTCCCTGTGTTCTGGGACAACTGTAACAACTAATATTCAAACCCACTGAACCCATGAAAAACACAACAACACACCATGCACTTGTGACAACTGAAATACCAGTAACCAAACTCAATGCTAATTTCACAGGAATACACAATAGTGAGCATGTACCGTTTTCAGAGTGGTCCACCCAGGTGAAAGTTATTCCTCCAAGGTGGCTTTCACTGAATCTTAACAAAAAGGTCCCAGGCATTTTATCCTTCAGCAAGAGTCTTTCCTTCTCTTTGCTAACAAAGCCCATGACATACCTAAAAATGGAACAATTGATAGTTTTATCTGATCAAAGATGGGTAATTTATTGGATTTACATTTATTTCATTCACAAAGAACAGACCTAAATTTGTTTTGAGTGTATCCAAAAGTCAATTGTGTCTGAAATACTCTTATACAGATTAAAGAAAATATCAATATTCTATGAAGAATGTAAGAAATTGCAGCTATTTCCCCCACCCCAATACTAATCATGTTTGAAAAGGAAAAACCAACAGCATAAAAATAAAAACCTAATGAACTCATATGCAAAATATAACCTGTAACTCACCCATCAATCCAAAGGGGAAGAATGTGTTTTTTAATTAGATCTAATATTGCTTCAAGCCATGTCCAAAAGGTAAATGATTTACCAGGTAAGTGTTCCTATTATAATAAACAAATATAGCACAATAATTATTTCAATAGTAATGCTGATATAATAATTCAAGTTCCTTTTTTTCACTGAAAGATTTTCTTCAAATGAGATAACACTTTAGAGTTTCTTTTTAAAAATTTCTTATCCAGAAAATCCTCAAAATACAGATTATGATATGGAGACTTAAAAAGGACCACTGTTACATTTTTACTCATCATATTTACAATATAAAAATGATAAAAACCAATTTTGGCAAGGACACAGGGTAAGGGGAACTCTCATTTCCGGTCAGGACTGTAAATTCAGACAAATTTTTTTATGAGGCTATTGGGCAATGTGTATTAAAAGCTTTACATATTTCTTTAACTCTTTGCTCAAAAATCTTTTAGGATTTTTCTCTGAAGGAAATATTTAGGCAAGTATAAAAAGGAATATACAAGATCTTAATGGGAACATTAAAAAAAAAATAGCCAAAATTATAAACAGCATCAATATCCAGCTGGTTGTTTATAATGTATTTTCTCAATCTAAAAACATTTTTATCTTTCCAAATTAAATGCAGGCTGCAGTTGACATTAAAAGAGTATCTACAGTTGTTAGGTAGGAAAACAAAGGAGTGCTATTAAAAAAAGATTATATAAATGATGTCCCCCGCTTCCCCTGTTTGTACCTTGCAGAACTTGGACCAGGTGAGATGACCATCACTGAAGCTAGATTGGACTAAAATGAAAGAAAAGAATAAAATTTCTATTAAACTATTAGACTCTTCAATTTTGTGCTCAATTAAGATTCTCCCCATCTTTCAAGTATTTCTTAAGCACATGCTATGTGTTTACAATGTATTTAATGCTTGAAACAGTAAAAATATATACAATTTATTATCTAGAAGAGAAGTCTTTTCCATGGAGCACCTAAAGATGGCTTTAGGAAGGGGGTAGGTGTCTAGGACCAAACCTCCATGAATGGATAGGAAATAAATTGTCAGAGGAGAAGGACGGGGACACTCCAGTACCACGAATAATGTAGGATGAAGCACAGGGGATGTGAATATGGCTTTATATAGAAGACAGTAAGAGCCGCCTAATATTCATGAATAAACGTAACATCAATTTGCAATAAGTAGATGAAACCAGATTACCAGGAGTGTTTAGTACTACCATGAAAAGAATGGACTACTGATCTATGAAGCAATAAGGAGCCACTCACCATTTTAATCCAGGGCAGTGAAAGGATGCAGCAGTTTCTACCTAAATTTCTAAGAAAACTATACTCATAGGAATACTTTGATACAGATCTGAAAGTATATGGTGGCTATCTATGCTACAAATTTAAAATATTTATTCACTCATTAACAAATTTTCTATTGAATTTCTACTACTGTGGTTTATGAATTTAAAAAGGATCCAAAGGATATTTACATTAGTAAACTTTGTAACAGCTTAAAGCCCTGATCTATTTAAATACCTATTGATCATATATAGTTACAGTACAAATGGCAACCCAGCATCACCTGTAGGTCAAACTTAACCAAATCACACACATTTTCTTTTTTTTCTTTTTTTCACTTGTTTTTAATCTTTATTGTTGAATGTATTACAGATGTTCCTCATTTCCCCCCCCCCCACTGACACCCTCCCCACTCCCACCCCCCTCCTGCTTTTTCCCACACTATTGTCTGTGTCCATTGGTTATGCATATAAGTTCTTTTGTTTATTTCTTCCCACCTCCCAACCCCCTTCCCTTTGAGGTTTGTCAGTCTAACAACAAATTTGTGCTTCTTAATCCCTTCACCTTTTTCATCCATTCCCCGAACCCCCCTCCCATCTGGCAACCAACAAAATGTTCTCTGTATCTATGAAAATGTTTCTGTTCTGCCTGTTCATTTTGTTTGTAGATTCAACTGTCGATAGATATGTATTCATTGCCATTTTGTTTGTTCATATATTTTATCTTTTTCTTCAAAAAGACCCTTCAACATTTCATATGATAATGGTTTGGTGGTGATGAATTCCTTTAACTTTTTCTTGTCTGGGAAACTCTTTATATGGCCATCGATTCTTTTTTTTTTTTTTTTAATTTATTTTTAATTTTATTTCTGTTACAGATGTTTCTCCTTTTTTTTTTTTTTTTTATCCTCACCCGAGGATATTTTTCCATTTTTTTGTACAGATAGAGTGGGAGGGAGAGAGAGGAAGGGAGAGAGAGAGAGAAATGTCGACGTGAAGGGACACATCGAGTGGCTGCCACCCGCACGACCAACCAGGGCCGGGGACAAACTGCAACCGAAGTACGTGCCCTTAGCGGGAACCGAACCCGGGTCTCTCCGGACCGCAGGCCGACGCTCTAACCGCTGAGCCAAACTGGCCAGGGCTGTTTCTCCTTTTTTACCCCATTGACATCCTCCTCCCCATCCCTCCCCACCCCATCCCCGGCTTTGTTGTCCATGTCCATCGGTTATGTGTACATGCATATAAGTTCTGTGGTTTATCTCTTCCCTCCCCACACCACCCCATCTTCTGAGGGTTGTCAGTCTGTATCCTACCTTCCATGTTTCTGGGTCTACCCTATTCTTCAGATTGTTATGTTTATTATATTCCATAAATAAGTGAGATCATGTGGTATTTGTCTTTTTCTGCTTGGCTTGTTTCACTTAGGATAATACTTTTCAGGTCCCTCCATGTCATCTCAAAGGATAAGAGATCTTTCTTTCTTACAGCTGCATAGTACTCCATTGTGTATATGTACCACAGCTTTTTCATCCATTCGTCTATTGATGGACACTTGGGCTGTTTCCAGATCTTAGCTATTGTAAATAGTGCTGCTATGAACATGGGGGTACATATATTCTTTCTGCAAATAACACACATTTTCAATGCTGCAAAAATGCATCTTTGGCCCCGCTTTAACTAGAAATGTATATAAATCCAATTTGAACTCTTTTGTGGTGCTAAATGTGTTTACCCCAAAGTTGCCAAACTATAGATATCTTTTAAAATTCTTTTAGAAAAAGCTTAACACTGCAGTCACTACACTGAGTACCAATGACTATTTTGCAAGAGTTAGAAATGTCAAAACTGAAATTTTCTTGATATAAAGAATTGTGTTAGCTAGTGGTTTTTAATTTCTATTAAATTTTGTGACCCTGAAATCAGCAATTTTCTAGTTGGTCAACAACCATTGTGATATTAATATGAAAGATCAGGGCACCATTAAGACTTCACATTATATTCAGTGGAAATGGCATAAAAACACCCTGGAGATTGGAGTGTGGGATGGAAAGGAAGGGGTTTTACCACTGGACAGACCTAGCCCGTGTCTTGACTCTGCTGCAAACTAGTCATGCAGCTGTGGCAAATTACTTAATATCCTCATCTACAAAATGGATTATTCTACCTTAAATAATCATTATTCTGTCTTAAAGAACTTTTAAAAGAAAGATAATACAGCATTCAGCCCTGTGCCTGGCACTCAATAAATGGTGATGATCACTATTATTGTTAATAGTGGTAATATCAACTAGGTTCTTTAAGACACTTGAGTAACAAAAACAGAGGTAAGTCTTCTGTATCTACCAGCTCTCACCTGTAAGCTTCTCTGCCAGCATGTTGAGTTGATCTGAGTTAAGGCCACGGCCGACATATGATGAAAACTGCCAGCTCATCACTTCCAGGAGTTGACTCAAAGTGGCAGATGGAGGATTATTAAAGAAAACCAAGTTCTGAAATAGAGTTACAATGATCATTTTATTTATTAATCACATCGAACACACTGTAATTCAATATGTAGGATTCCTGATTTAAACTCTATAGGCCAACCTAAGTTAACAATACAGAATAAAGAAGAGAAACCAGAGTTAGTTTTCTGCCTCCTGCACCAGGGATGAACCTGCAGCCCAGGTGTGTGCCTTTGACTGGGAGTCGAACCCATGATCTTTCCTTCCACACACAGGCCAATGCTCTAACCACTGAATTAGTTTTTATGCTAGACTCTGTAAGTTGGCTGTGCAGCTATGTTTTAGGAGCTGTGTGTGATCTGTGTCTCCAGATTCAGAATCCAGGAGAAACAGAATCTCGGATGGTTAGATGATTAGTGGGACGGTGCCTTTCTTAAAGAAGGATGCCAAAGGAAGTGCAGCAACACTACACTCTTCAGCTGGAGAACAAAGAAGTATCTTATCTCTCTCTTACATCCTGGAGTTGAATGAAAAGCTTTGAATGTGTGTAGCTCAAATAGGAAATGACAATTAATTTCAGGGGTGTTGGCTGTTCTTGGCTTTAAAGACCAGGTGACTTCTCTAGTGGGTTTTATTCTTCTCGCTGCAGGCTGAGAGGAAGAGGCACGACACACTTCAGCACAGCCTTCCTCTGCAGTTAATCTGTCCCAGATGCCGAGACACCGGAAGATGAGAAGGAATAGGGCTGAGTCATTTTCTATGTTGTTTCCTTAACAGGCACATTAAATTAAAGGGAAAGGACACTTAGAGCTGACTCATTATATTTGTTATTATTGCTGGAACTAGGTAAAATAATTCTTCCCTTTGGAAGGAACATTTGCTTTGAATTAAGAAGAAATGTTGTTATTTACATCTGACCTATTTTCTCTAGACCTTGATGGTTTCCAGGACAACTCTGAGGTTTTGTAAGAGGGAACAGGGGGAAGTGCTTACTCATCTTTTTGCCACTCCCTTCCTTTGTTGTCTTTTAAGAAGAGCTTCTAGCTTCTGCACAGCAAAAAATACAATCATCAAAATGGAAAGGCAACCCACTGTATGGGAGAGCATAATTGCCAATGATATGTCAGATAAGGGGTTAATTTCCAAAATATACAAAGTGCTCATACAATGCAACAAAAGGAAGACAAAGAACCTAATTAAAAAATGGGCAGAGGAGCTAAACAGACACCTCTCCAAACAGGACATACAAATGGCCAAGAGACATATGAAGAAATGCTCAACATCACTAATCATCAGAGAGATGCAAATTAAAACAACAATGAGGTATCACCTCACACCCGTCAGAATGGCTGCCATCAACAAATCATCAAACAACAAGTGTTGGCGAGGGTGTGGAGAAAAGGGGACTCTAGTACACTGTTGGTGGGAATGCAGACTGGTGCAGCCACTATGGAAAACAATATGGTGTTACCTCAAAAAATTAAAAATTGAACTTCCATTTGACCCAGTGATACCACTTCTAGGAATATACCCTAAGAAGCCTGAAACACCAATCAGGAAGAATATATGTACCCCCATGTTCGTAGCAGCACTATTTACAATAACTAAGATCTGGAAACAGCCCAAATGTCCATCAGTAGATGAGTGGATAAAAAAGCTGTTGTAATTCCGGTCAAGATGGCGGCGTAGGTAAACGCGGTATCGAGTCCTCCCACAACCACTTCAAAGTTACAACTAAACTACAGAACAACCATCATTCAAAACCGCCTGAAATCAAGCTGAATGGGAGTCCTACAACTACGGAATTAAAGAAGCAGCTACATCGAGACTGGTAGGAGGCGGGGAGGCGCGACAGGCTGGTCCCACACCCACATGTGGCGGGTAAAAATCAGGAGGACGCCTCGGCTGGGAAGGTCCTCCCTGAGGACTGAGGGGTCCCTGTATCACACCAGGCACCCCACTCAGGGTTCCAGTGCCAGGAAGAGAAGTCCCCATAACTTCTGGCTGGAAAAACCAGCAGGAACTGAGGCTCAGGGAGGCTGATGCGGCTGGAGCCCAAGGCAGCTCTTCTTAAAGGGTCCGCGCACGGACTAATCAGACTCTCTCCCTCTAATATTGGAGGGGAGGCGGCTTAAGGGGCATCAGAGACATACAGGGAAGAACTGAGCTGTTTGGCACTGGAGCAAGGGCTGGAGAGGGGGCTTTCTCTGGGACAAACGTGCTGTCAGAGGCCTTTGTTCCTTTGGTGAGCCCTTCCCTGGGGCGGCAGACAGAAGCCATATCTGGGACTCCAGCAACCTGGCTCACCCTGGTTGCCCCACCCTGGTGACTCCCTGAGGCCCCGCCAAACCCAGCTTTCAGGCCTGCCCAAGCTGTTGCCAGTTGCTTAACCATAGGATTGGCCTGTCTTGGATTCTGCTTCAGGTTTTCCTAAATTCTTTCAAACAAGCAGCATCTGGTCTCAGCTAGCCCCATACCTGTCTTTAAGCAATACATAGAAACAAACACAGAAAGGCAGCCAAAATGAGGATACAAAGAAACAGGTCCCAAATGAAAGAACAGAACAAAACCCCAAGAAAAGAACTAAGTGAAATGGAAGTAAGCAACCTAAGAGATGCTGAGTTCAAAATACTGCTTATAAGGATGCTCAATGAACTTAGTGAGAACCTCAGTGAACTTAGGGAGGGCCTCAAGAGCATAAAAAAGGACCAGTCAGAAATGATGGATGCACAGTCAGAAATGAAGGAGGCATTAACTGAAATAAAGAATAATTTACACAGCTTCAATAATAGAGTATGTAAATCCAAGAAGCAAACCATCGATCTGGAATATAAGGAAGCAAAAAACGCCCAATCAGAACAGCAAAAAGAAAAAAGAATCCAAAAAAATGAGGATAGTGTAAGGAACCTCTGGGACAACTTAAAGTGTGCCAACATTCGCATCTTGGGGGTGCCAGAAGGAGAAGAGGGAGAACAAGAAATTGAAAACCTGTTTGAAACAATAATGGCAGAAAACTTCCCTAACTTGGTGAAGGGAACAGACATCCAAGTCCAGGAAGCACAGAGAGTCCCAAACAAGACGAATCCCAAGAGGCCCACACCAAGACACATCATCAAAATGTAAAAGGTTCAAGACAAAGAGAGAATCTTAAAAGCAGCAAGAGAAAGGCAGTTAGTTACCTACAAGGGAGTTCCCATAAGGCTGTCAGCTGATTTCTCAAAAGAAACTTTGCAGGCCAGAAGGGAGTGGCAAGAAATATTCAGAGTAATGAAAAGTAAGAACCTACAACCAAGATTACTCTATCCTGCAAAGCTGTCATTTAGAATTGATGGCCATATAAAGAGTTTCCCAGACAAGAAAAAGTTGAAGGAGTTTATCACCACCAAACCGTTATTGTATGAAATGATGAAGGGTCTTTTTGAAGAAAAAGAAAATATATGAACAAACAAAATGGCAATGAATACATAGCTATCGACAATGGAATCTGCAAACAAGGTGAACAGGCAGAGCAGAGGCATTCTCATAGATACAGAGAACATTTTGTTGGTTGCCAGATGGGAGGGGGGTTGGGGGAATGGGTGAAAAAGGTGAAGGGATTAAGAAGTACAAATTCATTGCTAGACTGACAAACCTCAAAGGGAAAGGGGTTGGGGGAGGGGTGGGAAGAAATAAACCAAAGAACTTTTTTTTTTTTTTTTTATCCTCACCCGAGGATATTTTTCCTTTTTTTTTTTTTTTTTTTTTGTACAGATAGAGTGGGAGGGAGAGAGAGGAAGGGAGAGAGAGAGAAACATCGACGTGAAGGGACACATCGAGTGGCTGCCACCCGCACGACCAACCAGGGCCGGGGACAAACTGCAACCGAAGTACGTGCCCTTAGCGGGAACTGAACCCGGGTCTCTCCGGACCGCAGGCCGACGCTCTAACCGCTGAGCCAAACTGGCCAGGGCCAAAGAACTTAAATGTATAACCAATGGACACAGACAATAGTGTGGGAAAAGGCGGGAGGGGGGCGGGAGTGGGGAGGAGGGTGTCAACAGGGGAAAAATGAGGAACATCTGTAATACATTCAACAATAAAGATTTTAAAAAAAAGTCAAAAATTAAATAAAAATAAAAAAGCTGTTTTACATATACACAGTGGAGTACTATGCAGCTGTAAGAAAGAAAGATCTCTTATCCTTTGAGACGACATGGAGGGACCTGGAAAGTATTATCCTAAGCGAAACAAGCCAAACAGAGAAAGACAAGCATCATATGATCTCACGTATTTGTGGAATATAATAAACATAATAGTCTGAGAAATGGGGTAGTCCCAGAGATGTGGAAGTAGGGTACAGACTGACAATCCCCAGAAGAGGGGGTGGTGGGGGAGAGATAAACCACAGAACTTATATACATGTCTGCATAAACAGTGGACATGGACAACAAAGCTGGGGACAGGGCGGGGAGGTGGGGAGAGGGGAATCAGTGGGGGAAAAAGGAGAAACATCTGTAACAAAAGTAAATTAATTAATTAATTAATTAAAAATAAATAAATAAAAAAGAAGAGCTTTGATGCTTGCTTTGTTAATCTCAGACCAATTTTTGATCAATGTCTCAAATAACCACAAGATGGCAATAAAACCCACCTAGAGCCTAGTATGGATTACATCTGTAATTAACTTCTATGGATTAAATCTACAATCCACTTGCAAATGTGTACAATTAGAGTGTAGTTAGGCAAAACAGATGTATATTCTAATTACTTATTTAGAAATCAGTTCTCTACCTCTGCAGAAGAGTCTGTGTGGAGGTGGGCCAGCAGTAGTTGAGGAGATAAACACAGCAGTCAGACATCAAATTCTGGAGCAAGGAGCCTCCCCATAGCCCAGTTAGCAGACCTGCAGGATGGCCCTAGAACTCTCTCTGATGCACATATTTGGGAGCTGACCAGACTCTCTGCCTGTCACTTTCGTTAGCCAGAACTCACTCAGGGTCCAAGTACATTTGAACATAATACTTTGAATATGACATAAGAGAGGAATCATACAACTAGATATATGGGAGTTCTGAAATAAAACAACCCACAAAGGCATGCCAAAATTTTATTTACACATATATATTTTATAAAAATTATATATATGTATATATAAAATCTTTTGATGCAGATGGGTTTTGTTGACAAAGCAAATCAAATAGAATTAAAGGAAAAAAAATAAGAATGAGACTTTACCTGGGAATCATTGGTTGACACATTGTACCAAATGATGGATGCCCAAGCATTAGGTAACTGACTGACATTGGAAATTATCACCACAGGTAATGAGCTGGTCTGGTTTTTAAAAAAAGAAAGCATAGTTATTACAGGTAGGTGAATCTTACATTGATTTTAGACTTGACCCTCTCCCTTAAAGGGCCATCTCAAGTCATTCCCATTCCTCCAATCCTGGTGTCTACACTGCCCTGGCCACTAAAATGACTGTGAAGGCACTGGAACTTTCTGAGCATATATGAGCCAAGCTACCAGGAGGAAAGAAGCTATAGAAACAGGAATCCTTCCAAAAGTGCTCACTCAGTCTTTTAAATATCTTTCCTGATACCATGTAAATACTTATACTTTCTTATATCACATACTGCCTAAAATGCAACTAATTAAAGCTTGTAATGAGTTAGCCACTGTTAACTTAATAAGTTACATTAAAGAATCTAGTATTAAATTGATCTCTGGAATGGATTAATATATTCAAATTATGATCTGACATCTAATTAATGTCAGTACTAGATATGGAGTTTTAATGATAGAAGATGGTGAGGTATGCAATATTGGAATACAAAGTATTATGGGAGATAGAGCTGCCTGGTCTGTGGTGCAGAATTTGACTTAGTACTTTTGGTACTGTAGTTTCAACTTCATGGAATAAACAGACTTTCACAGACTAGTCTGGAAAACTAAGCAACCTTCATTAGTCCCTCCCCAATAGCAGAGGTTAGATAGCTGTAGACAGTGAAATAACCAATTGAGGAACTTCATAGCACATGGAAACAAGTTTAGAAAAAAAACAAATGAGCAAGAAATCCATGAAAGATTTTATAAACATGTTTATGTTCATTAAGATAAAAAAGAAAGCCTGGCCAGTGTGGCTCTGGTTGAGCATCAACCCATGCACCAAGAGGTCACGGGTTTGATTCCCCCATCAGGGCACATGCCCAAGTTGTGGGCCCGATCCCCAGTAGGGGGCATGCATGAGGTGGCCAATCGATGTTCTCTCTCATTGATGTTTCTATATCTCTTTCTCCCTCTCCCTTTCTCTCTCTAAAATCAATAAAAGGAAAAAAAAAAAAAAATATATATATATATATAAAGATAAAAAAGTAAAGGTAGAACTCTAAAATAATACATCCCACAAATAGGATCATACTCAGAGTATGTGAAATTGTGCTTATTCATTCATTTACTCAACAAATGTTGAGCGACTACTATGTGGCAGGCTTGTGCTAGGCACTGGCAATCGAGTGACAAGTGGGCATGATGTCCTGCCTTCAAGGAGCTCCGAGTCAATCATGTTCTAGTTCCCCAAAGTCCTTCTTTGTGTTCAATGATGAATGTTGCAAGAGGATCAAAACAATGTACTGTTAATGCTCTTATTATTTACCCTTACCCATTACATTAGAAAAATCTTTCTGAGGGATTTTTATGCATAAGTTAAATTTTTGAAAATATATCACTATATGAAATGATTCAAAAATACTTATTTCTCTTTAGGCTTTTTTTTTCCCCTTTATCGATTTTAGAGAAAGAGTAAGGGAGATAGAAACATTGATGAGAGAGAACATCGATTGGCTGCCTTCTGCACACCGCCCACTGGGGATTTGGCCCACAACCTGGCATGTGTCCTGACTGGGAATTGAACCTGTGACCTCTTGGTGCGTGGGTCAATATTCAACCACTGAGCCACACTGGTCGGGCTCTTTAGGCTTTTGACTGAGTATCCATGACTCAGGAAATCCCAGAAAACAAAACAAACATACAGTCTTGCCACCAGATTATTCAATATACATGCATATTGAATTCATAATGCTCATTAGCTTTTATCATTCACATTTAACCAGAATAGTAAACGTTGACTAATTAGTAAATATTTGACATGCTGATTTTCTAAATTAAAACAAATATAATGAATAGGGAGGCTTTATCTACAAATGCTGACCAATTCCTGAAAATGTTATTGGTAAATAGTAGATGTTTCTTGAAACACCTACCTCCAAATCTATAGTCAGGCCATAGAGACAGATCTGTGCTTCAAAGGTTATGGAATGAAGTTCTTCAGTCACCATGTGACAGCCCTAAGGGAGAAAGACATGTTTTTAATCTTATAAATGCAAACTTGCTATCTATTATTAGGCCTGCTCCTATAAAAATCAATAAATTATTAGAGTATATACCCCCAAACATTTCCTAGGATGGAACAATTCTTCTTATGATTTTATGTTATTTAGTATACAGTATAGAATTTGAGTAATCTTCATTTCTACAAACAGAATAATTTCATTTCTCCAAAACAATATAAATTCTAACTTTTAAAATTCTAACATATTTTCATTAGTTGAAATTCAGATAAATAGTTATTTTTTAACTTTTGGAAATTCGTCCTTTTGACTTATCAACTGCTAGTAAAAGCAAGCCATATAGGTGTAGATAGAACAGAAGCAACTCAGGGTCATAATAAATTTGTTTAAAAAGAAAGCAAAATTTCCTTCTGGTTAAACATGGTAGGTGGAAAACATAACATCCTTCGCTCCCTCTACAAACTTCAATAACATAACAGCTGGAGTTTTGTTTACTTTCAAATAAAGTAAAACTCTGATCTAGATCTCCTAGCGAGAGGCAGGAAAGTGTGGAATGAGGGTAGCAATAAGGTGCCATGGACGCCGGAACCAGGGGTCTGAAGCATTGAGCCCCTAAGAGGCTGGAGAGTGAAAAGGGCTGAACGGGAGGAGCAGTTATGAGCCCCAGTTCATGCAATGAGGTCCCACACCTCTCCAGCCCTGATGGAGGGCAGGAGGTTTACTCTGGAGCCCATGAATCAGAGGAACTAAAGAGGCTGTCTGCATTTTTTTTTTTTTTTTATCCTCACCCGAGGATATTTTTCCATTTTTTGTACAGATAGAGTGGGAGGGAGAGAGAGAAAGGGAGAGAGAGAGAAACATCGACGTGAAGGGACACATCGAGTGGCTGCCACCCGCATGACCAACCAGGGCCGGGGACAAACTTGCAACTGAAGTACGTGCCCTTAGCGGGAACCGAACCCGGGTCTCTCCAGACCGCAGGCCGACGCTCTAACCGCTGAGCCAAACTGGCCAGGGCAAGAGGCTGTCTGCATTTTGATACAAGGTCAAGCTGAAGGCAGGGGGTGAGGTGCTGTGCTGAAGAGAGGAAGACCCTGTAAACATGTACAGAAAAGCTCATGCCCCTTCCTCTGTTTGACATTTCAGGGAAGATATTGGGAAGTGAACTAGATCTAGGAAGACAACTTATAGATACTGCCTTTGGGCATCCCCCAAGGAGATAGCCTGGTCCTAATAATCACCCTTAAGTCTACAGTTTCCACCATGCACGCAGAGCTTCTCTTAAACATAAACAGTAAGCCCATAACCATCAAACATTTCGCAAAGCCCTCACATGAAATACAGATACAAAAGTAAACTACAAAGTACTCAGAAAAGGAGAGAAAATGCAAAAAGCAAATGAAGAGTTTAAAAAAAAACTATACTAAAAAAACAAATCAAGCTCAGTTTTATACATCAGCTCAACAAATAAATGGCACGAGGATGAGGCAAATCAACCAATTGTAATGAGTGGACATTGCTTGGATACTCATCTTTTTGAGATGGTGGAGAAATTTAAACAAGTATAGGCAAAATGTTAATCACCATTGACGTTGGGTGATGTATAAATGAAGGTTCATTGTATTTCTTGCTCTACTTCTGTATATATTTGTGTTGAATGTACTGGAAGTATTGTATATACATACATATACTGTTTATTAGAGAGTTTTTAACCAACTGTAAAGAGGTTTTAAGATGTTTTAAAAACTTTATTAATATCCTTATAGATGTAACAAATATATTACATTAGTGAAACAAGAATAAGATGTGTTTGAAAAAAACATTTAGAAAATAATAATGAATAATTAAAATATAATAAGAGAAATAGATAAGTCAGTAGAAGAAATGGAACTACGGTGAAAGAAATATTCCAGAAAACAAAACCAAAAAAATGAATAAATAAAACACAGGATAGAAAAGATAACAAAGAATCAATATAACAATTTCAACAAAAACTAATAGGTGTTCTAGAAAGAGAACAGAGAAAATGGAATAGAGGAAATATCAAAGGCAGAACCCAGTGGTAACTCTTATACATTGCTGATGGGAGTTAGTACAATCACTTCGGAAAATAATTTCTCAATATATAATAAAGTAGGAGATGCACTCCCTAAGATGACGGTGAAAGGAAGTTTAAAAACACACACAAAAACAAAAACAATGGTGCAATAGGACCAGAAGGCAGTCGGCCCGGATTGGAGCAACAGATGGAGGGGTCCCAGATGGATGATGCCAAGAAAAAAGAAAAAGATAGAAACTCACATTGACCTATTTGACCAAATTGCATGGCATTTTCAAGTTCTGAAGGAAAGTCTGGGGATATATTAGTGACAAGTACATAAAATAAATTGATCCCCCCCAAAAATTGAGACAACTAATAAATGCAGAGAAACCTAAAAGTAGTACAGGATGGGAATACAATCATACTATGTTATATGGCTCAGCTGTTAATAATTTCTTATAATCATAACAATGTAACCATTGAATATTTTGACTAAGCCAAAATATGTCACATAATGATATTGTGAAGATGGGAGGAAATTTATATGTATGGGGAGCTGTTATAAGAGAACCAGAGCTTAATTTTTTATAGAAAGAATTCAGGAGTTAAATATACAAAATTAAGAAATATTTATATGATATTAGCATGATATTTACAGCTCAAAACAATGATCCTCTGTGGAGAGTGGGCTTGGAGTGGGACAGAAATTGTTGTTTTTCCCTGATGAAATTTTACAGCTATATGCCCAGGATCAGAGCTTGTTAGAAAAACAGGGTCTCTGACCTCATCCAGGCCTATTGAGTCGGAGTCTCAGCATGAACCCCAGGTGGAATTTGTGAGAAAATTATTCTCAATGTGGTGTACCCCCACTGTATTTAGTCTCAAAAGGGATGTGAAAGCCCTGGCCGGTTTGGCTCAGCAGTTAGAGCGTCGGCCTGCGGTCCAGAGAGGCCCGGGTTCGGTTCCCGCTAAGGGCGCGTACCCGGTTGCAGTTTGTCCCCGGCCCTGGTTGGGTCGTGCGGGTGGCAGCCACTCGATGTGTCCCTTCACGTTGATGTTTCTCTCTCTCTCTCTCCCCCTCCCACTCTATCTGAACGAAAAATGGAAAAATGTCTTTGGGTGAGGATTAAAAAAAAAAAAGGGATGTGAAATTCAGAAGATGGTGTAGAAAACTTAAACAGTTTTTAAAAATCAGCCCTGTGGGAAAATTTAAACAGAAGTGGAATTATTTGACTTGAAAAGGCAGAGTGGGGCTGGGAGAGGCAGAGTCAGCTCTGGGAAAAAGGGAGATCTAACACTGAATATGCATCACTAACAAGTCAGAATCAATTTGATTCAATTTCAAATATTAAAAATAGTTCTAATATGATGACATGACTAACAATTATATGAGGAAAACATTATTGACAATGACTGTTAAATTTAGGCTTTGTTACTGAGAAGGATGTGGAGAATTAAAAAGTCTCGCCTTCCTGGGTTAGATCACTGTGATACCTTACATTGCCTGCCCACGGTTACTTCTTACTGGGTTAGTAGAAATTTATGTTAATGAAAATTCTGCTTGAAAATCCCTTAGGCAACCCCTAAAATTACTCCCAGTGCATTCCAACACACCAAACAGACCCCCACCCTCATCCCCTCACCCCCATGTTTCAATCAATCAATCAGTCATTCAAGCAATCAATAAATGGCTGTTTCTTTGGTTTAGCAAGAGAGAAAGCAGTTGGCTTGTTTTAGGCACAAAGTGAAAAAACCCACATTTTTTAGACAATAGGAAATCTCACTGCCCTACGAAATCTGCAGTATCATGTTCAGCTGTGTCTTTCACCTTCTCACCGAATTCAGTGGCAGGATGATACAAGCCTGTGCAGGACAGCTGAGAGGCCTGAGGCAAGGGCTCAGATGGAGACTCACATTCCATGTGTCTAAATATTCAACCATGATAAATCAACAGTTTATATTATAAATATAATATAACATATATAAATATAATATAATGTTTATATTATAAATATAAATATAACAGTTTATATTATAAGCTGTTAAAATATAGCCAGCCTCCTGCCTTGACATCTAAGCTTTTACATGACCGAACTGACCAGGTTTTAGCTTCTCAAAGTCTCACTGCACTGAAACATGGTGGCCCGAGGAGAGCATGTTCACCCTAGACCATTGCCCACCCTACTCTCTCCCACCTCTGTGAGGGGCCTCCCATGGCTACTGTGGCCTCACGGCTTCTGTTTGCTTTGATGGTGACACCTCTGCTTGGGGAAATAAGCCTCACAGGCCCTGGAAAGGCTTGAGATCTTTCAGGCTGGGAATTCTGGTCCTAGATTCTGGGTGAGCACATAGCCTTGAACCCACAGAACGTCTTTCTCTGTAGAGAGGTGTAGCTGGAAGACAGCCAAAGGGAGCTGTTTTGAATTTAAGGTCTCATCCCTACCTGATTCTAGCTTCTACAGTTCAATTTATATGATCAACTGTACATATGACATGATCATTCATTCTGGATAATTTCCTCTGATGTTTGAGCTACGGCACCCATCCGAAGTGTGAAACACCGGGGCTCCGCAGCCAGAGCAGTGACACTCAGGGTTGGCCATTGACTTTGGAAAGTGACTTCGTGCTTTAGGTATTATGTTGCTGAACTGGAATGTGGATGGTGAGAGGTTTCCTCAGTAATTCAAATTAATATCTAATGTTTACTTAAAATCCCTAATGAAATTGTGAGGCACATTTAGAACAAAATCCATCAAGAAAGCTGACTTCCAACACACATGACTGGAGAAAAGCAACTCTGACCAAAGGAAGCATCATTAATTTGCAACGCCTGCATAGCCATCACTTATAGCCTATATTACTGTATCAGTGTAGGCCAAGCCAGGGACACTATTTAATTTCACATTCCCAGGATTCATTCCTTACAGGTTAGGGAAATGTCATAGGTAAGATGCAC